ATCTTAATCAGTTTGCTTGAAAAAGATTAAAACCGAAAGAACTTTAATAAACAAGGGGAACGAGAGTTTAATTTGCACTATAATAAATATAATATATACATAAGATATTAGTATGAAAATTTCATTTTTAGAATTTTCATTAAATTAACTGTGTATCAAATGAAGTAAAAAATTACCTATTTGAGATGGATTCTCCTTTTTAGCTAGCTCAATTCTTTATAGTTTTCTAGTATCAGTTTCAATCATGTTGGAGCTTTGCGTCTGTAGAGTAGAGCCGACTGGAACATACCCTTTCTGTAATGTTATAAGTTTTTATTACTAAAATATATGGTTCCTTTAATAAAAATTATGTAATCAATTATGTATAAAAAAAGAGAAAAGCCATTTAGAAATATTAAAATAACTAAGAAAGACAAGTTGGAGTTATGTATAGAAAAAAAAAACAGAGATTATGACACATTTGTAAACTACTAGGAATGTAGTTACATATCGGAAAATAATTATCTTAAATTGTCACTTGAAATAAGAAACACATGGCTACTAAGAGGAGACTGTTGTGATAACCTTTTATCCTAGAAACTTATGAAATTATACTACAATAATAGAAAAAATTCAGGCCATGCAAGACAAAAAATAGCTTTTAATGCTAAACATAATAATCTATCATGCTAGAATCTAATTAATTTTCCGACCTATACGACCTATCTCTTACATAATTTTTGTACGTAACAGATGGCTAGTGGTCTCTCAATTCGTTCAGTAACTGGTAGAATTATAAAACAATTTAAAATTTGCCCGGAAAAAATGAATATTGTAAAAATTACTACGCAGAAACGATTGGAAGGTATTGTAAATGTAAAATATTGTATACCAAACGAAGAGTATATCTTATTTTGGTTAAATTATTAACATAAATTTGTCAGGTACTTGAGCCCATCGCTAAGATGCTAGGAAGAATATTGGGAATATATAAACAAAAGAAAAAGAAGAAAAGGAAAAGACAAAACGTGAAAAAATGATTAAACACTTTTTCTGTAACGTCTCTTTATATACTCTGTAGTTTCGCGCGGTCACCGTGAAGAATTATCACGAGATTCTCGCACGGTTTTCGCGGATAACAGTGAGCGAATAATACGCATTAACGAGGTAAAACGCGATAGTTACATATATTAAAAGGATCACAGAGCGACGGGAACAGCAATATTATTCGCGCACACGAGACATCTCCATGGAATAAGAGCATACATTATTCACTAGTAACATTAATCACTTGCTGTTTCCGACGCAAAATACTTTAGAAAATATATATTCTGCCGCAGGCTTTTCTCCTACGTAAGTTTTCGTCTTTCAATAAATCGCCTCCTCTTATCTTGTTTACAGCACTTGTTCAAGTTTTCCTTCGAGTTATCGAATCGTCTCTTTTCTAATTGATCGATTATCATCTTAGATCTACGTGTCAAGTTTAATTAGCCCGTACTCGCCATTATATATCTATATCTGAACGTATGTTCACTAATGTCTTTTTAAATCGAGAAATTTTATAGGAAGAAACGAATAATCATTAAAAATGGTCAACGAAATCGTTGGATGATGAAACACGCAGTTGATTCTCTTCGCACATTACGAACAACTAAGACAATGGGTAGCGAAGGAGAGTGACAGAAAATAATTAAAAGGCACTTGAACGAACCGGTTTGAGTATTGCAGTATGCTTTGCTCCTAATAATACGACGAAACGCAACATAATGCAATACAGTGAAACACTGACTGTAATCGAACTGGAAAAAGATTAGAAATTAAAAGGAACATCCAAAGTATTTCTCGCAACTTTGGACAACTCCAAAAAGTATTTTAAAGTATATTTCAATTCTTTGTTTGTTCGTCAATGAACTCGCGACCTGCGCGAGCGCTTATTTATCGTAGAATAAATACGTAGAATATTCGGTGCTGATCGCATCCGTTATTCATTACGTACATCCCATAAGTATTTGACACCTGTAAGGGATCGATGGTTGCCATCGAAAGCAATCATACGAATACGAGTTCGAGAATCTTTTTGCTTTTGGAACTATTTGAATGAGTGAAAGTACGTGAATTTTCTCAAGAATTATTATACGATTATACTAAGTAACTTTTTACATAGACTTACGATTTATAATACGTATGTATGTAACGGCCAGCCGTTGAAAAAAAGGACAAGAACAACACATAACATGTACGTTGTTAATCAGACACAAGGATGCGACGTTCGCGAGTCGCTATTCGTCTATTGCATCGCTTAGTATCGATTATATTGCGTTTGTTACTTTCTCGTTACGATAAAATTCGAATGTCCTTCCGATCGAAAAATATATAAATTGATTATTCGGAGCGCTATTAACGCTCGCATCCTATTACGCGACAATATCCATATCGGAGGAGGAATTCGGTGTGGTTGGTGCCAAACTACCAAGGGTATCTTCGTCTGGTAGGGCATGTTGACAGCCAGCCTGTGCTGGACTTAGCGGTGGTAAATGAGGCGAGGAGAGCATCGGGTCGCCGCTATGAATCGGACCGTTTCCATCGTCCTCCATCAGATCTTCCAGCTGCGACATACTTAAGCTCGTTGCGTCTTCGGTAACCAATTCTGGAATCTATTTAGTACACAAAAATAACATGTCTTTACAACCGACGATCTATTTCTATTTATTAATTAAACGAAGATCACACGAAGAAAGAACGATAAGTACATTTCTGTTTATTCTTTTATATCAAATTCGTAAGAATGCAAAGACCCTGTTAGGTCCAGCCAAAGGAACAGTTGTTAAGACAAACGGTGCTTTGGTATCTTCGAAATTTTTATACAAAACAATATTATTTTTTAATTACGGAGAAGGTAGAAAAATACATACATGCTAAATCCCAAAATCGAATAAAACGACAATTTTGGCAATGTAAGATTAGTCGAGACAATATTCTGATTTTTAAAATTGTTGTCTCGCGAAGGTTGGAAAATGCGACCTATCGTGTCTTTCCCTTGTAATCTTCGAGTGCGATAACCGAAGCTAATCGTCATATAGTATCGAAATATTTTCAATTCGCGCGAATGAACGATAGAAATAAATTATACATGTATATACGGTGCATATTACTCAACACTTTCGTTCGATGTGATCGCGAACGAACAGCAGCGAGAGACGTTCGCTTTATTTTGTTGTTTGAACATGCGATTCAAATTGCGCTCTTATCAACGTTCGCATTTCATAGAACCGACAAATCGCTTATTGATATACCGACTAGATTTTATCTACAACAATTCACCAATGTGATATTCGATTTTTGTATTCCCGTGCGTGGAATAGTCTCACCGTTTTCCTTTCGAAAATCTTTTCCTTCGCTTGAACTCAGGAGACTGACAACAGCTCGAACAACGAATCGACTCATAGTCTTTTAAGACTTTTACGGCGAATTAACGAATTAACTCGTTTCCGTTGTCAACAAGCGGATATTTAAGGAAAATACAATTAGAGAAAAAAGAAAAAAAAATAGAATACCGAATGTAAAAATATACCTAATGTTTCCAAATCACGATAAGATAAGTCATTTCCGCGATTGGATAGTTCTGTAACGTAGGATTAGAATGTCTGATACGTGTGCTCGACGCGAATCCAAGAAACGCTAGGTAAAGCGAGAAGAGCGAAGCGATGCAGAGGGAAAAAGAGAGTAAAATATTACAACGACGAACAGAATAAAGAAAAGACAGACTGACAATAAGAATACGCGTACAACGGAAGAACGAACGGAAACATGGTGCTTGGTGGAAACACCAGTAACAAGGGAGAAGAGGATGCGATATCGACGATAGAACTATTTATTTGTACACGCACACTCGTAAAAAAGGAGACAGAGAGATGGAGCGGGAGAGAGAAAGAGAGAGACAGACAGACAGACAGACAGACAGAGAGCAAGACGAGCGATTTCGTAGCTGGCAGTCTGATCGGAACACATGCGAATTATGAAACCAGTCTCGGGAACGAAGCGAGCGTTTATTCGGATCAAGGATCGTGAAACGATCAGCGGTACATATCGGTGTTGATCGGCATAACCTTGACGAAATTCATAGCAGCCGCGATATCGTGACAGTCGTCGTTGCGCGAGGATGCACACCATCGAGAATATGTACATATTCACCTCGTTCCTGAGAGAAGACAAATGACGTTCGTGATAAAAAGCAAGAGAGAATAATATGGGCCGTCGAATTAGGACCACGGAGAAAAATTTGAATTTCTTTTTACGCATAAGCTTGTAAATGACTAAGAAGTAAAAACAGTAGGGGATATCAAATTTTGTATTAAATATCAACGGATGTCCTAATTCTGTCATGACCGGCGGTATATATAGAAATTCGATTACCTTGCGTTGTTCGAGCTTGTTTCGGGGAAAGGTGTTCAGCATGCTACCGGAAGTCGAAGCCCAACTAAAATCAGTCACCGGAAGACCATGCGCCTTCGCTTGCAACTCCAACTCTTGAACTCGTAAAAGGAGTCGACGATTCTGATGTTCCAGTTGCTTGTGTCTCAGCTCGTTCTGTTTCATCCTTGTCAACTCGTTTTTCAATAATTTTATGTACTCGACCGAAGACTTCAAAATCGTTCCCTTGTTTGGCCTGACGTCTCGGACGATTTCATAATATCTGGAACAAGTGAAAATTAGTTGATTACGATGTTACGCTGTCCGAGTCGCGTTATTAAAGATTCGTCGTGTCTTCTTTTCTCGTGAGATATATTCGATTAGACTTTCAATCCTTAAAAGCTATCACGGAAAGAAATCGTTCGAACGAATAAAAATTCCTCCGAGATGTATTCCTATTTATTTTAAAATCCCATTGATAAAGTTAGACAAATGCAATTCGATATTTTCTTATCATTCGACGTTAGATGGAAAAGTAAAATAGCGGTATAAAATTCGATTGGATAAAATCGAACACAATACGAGACGGAAGATACATACGTAATGCCAGCCAAGAGACATCGATCGGCGGTGGGAAAGAGAGAGAATTTTGGAAAACGGGGTCGTATCAGAATGTTTGCCATTGTACTTAGACTCGTTTCGTTATCGAGGTGAGACTCGAGACACGGTAACACCGTCTACTCGCAGTTCCGTACATCTTTCTTTCGTACGATGCTAATCTTAGAAGGAGGCGATGCTTTGGTACTCGACCGTACCAAGTATCGCTCGCTATTTCGTTCTCCGGAAATTTATTACGCAATGCAAGACGCAGGATACAGGGAGACACGAAATCGAACGAATTTAGGTTGGAGAAGTTGTTTCAAGAACGAATTATCGTTCGTTTTTCGCTGCTCTTTCACCTTTCCAGTCTCTGATCGATCTATTCTTAAGATTTATAAGTTTAATATCGACTCATGACGAAGAAAGCGTAAGCTGAGAAAAGAAACGAGAGAATTATCGTTGGTTTTTCGTTGCCCTTTCACCTTTCCATTCTCTGATCCATCTATTCTTAAGATTTATAAGTTTAATATCGACTCATGACGAAGGAAGCGTAAGCTGAGAAAAGAAACGAGAGAACATGTCAAGAAGAATGACGTAAACGTCATTTTTGAGATACTCGGCCTACTGGCAATGAGAAACGAGCAGAGATTAAAGACGACGAATAAGCGACCCATTGATTAAATATTGCACGTCGAAAAATATTAACTACGTTTTCACTAGCAAGTTTGTTTTCCAAAAAATTGTCTACGTACGTTTTTCGTCTGCGAACGATATATTTTGCACGACGAGCAACGCTCTTCGTACATAACGTGTTTGACGAATCTTATCGAGCATTTTCTTCTCTACAAATTGCAAAGGAGTTAAGCGTGAGTTGCTTGTTGCTGCCTTACCGCTAACGATACGTGGTAAACGGTCGTGAAATTGAAAAACGTACTTACGGGTCGTTAGTTTTAGGCAAGAGAGTGCCGAGCTCTTTGATTCTATCGTTGATATTGAACCGTCGCCGTCTCTCGACTGAAAATCATAATAATAATATGAATTATAATTAGGATATCGCAGTTGCGTCTGAAAATATTTTTACATATTTTCATATCGAGTGCCGGCGCGCGAAAGCTGGCGTTCAGATGGTAAGCAGCATCGACAGCAGCCGTGTTGATTAACGACAACCATGTCGGTTACTAATAATAAATAGACAAAATTATCTCCTACTCTAATTTTATAAAATTGCCATTTCTAGCCGTTTCACGTTATTCTGCTGATTTCTTATTCGCGCCTATACAACCTATCGTATTCTACGTTAGTATACTTTATATATTCGCCTACGTATGAACCAACAAAATGAGTTATCTCGTTGAAGAAGCACGAATATCAGAAACGAAACGATTACGTTCCGCTCCATGGATATTTGACGTGGATATATCAGATTTTACACGATCGCAGGAACAGCAATCCGTCTCTAATTCGTTTACAATTCAAATGACTGTTTCAGTTGTTTTAAGCGAACAACGAGCACCGAAATAGAGACATACGAATGTATTATGGTTTTTCGCATACTGCTAATAATTAATAGTAACAGGTTACCGTCACCGCATACGTATAGCCAATAGTCGATCGTATTTACTTACTCATATTATGATTATCTTTCTTTTGTCGATCTTTGGCAAGCGCGTGTATCTCGGCATCGGTAAGCAACAGAGGTTCGGGCTTGATTTGTAATTCTGGAATATTGGACAGACTTCCTGACTGGCTGTCTTTTAAATTATCGCCTAGGGAGTTGGCTTCGAACGACAAGATGTCATCCAGAAGATCCTCCGCCTGTAATCATACAAATTTCATATGACCAAACGATTAAACTCAACTTTCGGATCGTCTGTGTTCTCGGACGATAAATAAAAATTCCATCGTGATATGTACTTTTACGCACAACAGAGGATACATGATTCTATCGTATTTCAATCGCCTTAGAATGCCTTTTCAATTTATACTTTATCGATGTATCGATGGAAGGAGGACTGTAGATGCGATTTTGCTTCGATGCGGGGTCAGCAAACGAGTTCACGTTAAAATCGCTGTCAAAGCTAATTGTTATATCACATTTTCTCTCTAACATTTCCTTTTTTTTGTGTTTTTCCTCTATCGATTCATTCGCCGGGTATCTGATCCAACCTTCGAATGAGAGAAATATCATAGAGGATGTGATATTTTTGAAAAAACAATTTGATTATATCATGCTTAGTTTGCCCTGTTAAGCAGATTTGATAACAGGAAGAACGTTCTCACACCTATATCGTACACACTGCCACGATTTTATCGAATCTCGTGGACTTTATTCGCAATTCTTGATATTCTCTCCATTGACGATCGCCGATTCAATTGCTGTCGATGGTCAAAGAATGTTTTAATGGGACAGTGATAGATCAGGTTTGAACAAACGATAGTGAAATAGAGAGAGAGAGAGAGAGAAAGCGTTAAGCGAAAAGAGAAAGACGATAAAGACGATAAAAAGGCAAGAAGAGAAATGTGATAGAGAAGTTGAACGGTTATGAAAAAGGAGGGCAGAATGGTGAAAATTCAGAGGGAAACGATATGAAACGGGTTGGGATCGCAAGCATTGGTGCTCAGCGTACGGCGCTTATGGCTATTCAAGTTGCGTACGTGTAAGTTACGTAAATATTACGTAACAACAATAACCGATGTCTGTCCGTGGAAGAACGTGCCGATAGAACGTGTTGTGTCAGAAAGACAACGGTGGCAAAAGGCAGGGCCAAAGGATACATTTAAGTTGTACGAGAGAAAGCGATCGAACAGATAAAAATATGAAAAGGTCAAGAGATAAGAAAGAACGAAAAGAACGAAGTCGATTGATAAAGGGAACCAAGTAAGCGCCTTAATAAAGGGAACCTAGTTTATCGTTGGAATTTCATTTATGTTTCAGCTACCGATAATCTAACTGCAAGATTATGCGATAATATCAAAGATATCAGTAATTAGAGATAGTCGGAGAAGCACAGTTGGAAAAAATGATCGAAATCGCTATTGTTTATGTCACATCGGATAAAACAATTATCATAGTTGAAGTCGTGTCTGGTCTTACGTTCTAATGTTTCATCTCGTTTCGTCATATCGTGTTATATCTTTCGCTACGCAAGTGAAAAACGACGTTAGCATTGTATTGGATACACAACGTTCTTTTTCGTTCGTACGTTCCTTGAAAATACTATACGCCTTAGTAGACTGCGAATATTTTTGCAAATTCCTATTTTTACCAACGTAATTAAACAAATAGAATTTAACTAGAACTCTAAAATATTATAGTCGATATTTTGCTTCAAATATTTTATACAATTTGCTTTATATATTTATGTGTTATATATTTCTGTACGTTTTAACGACTTCGAATTTCCCATAAACGTATAAAAATTCACAGACTACTCGTTAGCTGCAATAGAAGCTATCCTTGCAATCGGCTGAGAGCGATTAAACGAAAATGGTCGGAGGGCGGTTTCCGTAATAAATATGCTAACACGTTATACATATGTGCATTTCCATCACGACTGGCATCCTCTCGCTGATCCGCCGTCTATGTCTGCCTGTTCGTATTGGTATCGGTTATGTGTTCGCGTTTCTGACTTCGTATAAACGAAGTTGCTCGTTACGAAACGTAAGTATGGCATCGCTCACAAATATTAGCATCGCCCAGAATGTTCGTAGTATTTAGGTGTTTTTACCTAGATAAGCTGTTATCGAGGCGATTGTCGTTATCTTGAAAAGCCTTTTCAATCCTTGATCGAGAAAGATTTATATGCTCGCCCAAGCGGTCGGAAATGCTGACGCTTATCACGATTATCTTACGCATCCTCGCCATGAATATACGTAGAATAGTAAAAGAAAATTAAGAATTGCAAATTATAGCAACGAAGTTTCGTAAGATGAGAGGCCGCGATGTGCTGTTACCAAAGATCTACCAGTTGATGATTACGCGAACGACATCGATCGCTGCTATATCCTATATATATATATATATATCTATAAAAATATATACGTATAGGTATACGTATATGCAGAAAATGCGAAATACAGAAAATTGAGGATACGTAAACAATCCATCGTCACTCGTGAATTTTTTAGATGTTACACTTACGATAGTCTTTTGTTAAAACGATAAAGGACGCGATAAGCACCGATTACACCGACTTAATCGATATCGATCTTTGACAGTTGATTAGTTCGCAAATACGAATCGATCAAACAAGGCGTAAACTTATTAAATTTTCCTCAAATTCATCTTGCATCGTCTTGCCCTTCGCTTCGATCCGTTCAACGTCTCATCCGTTCGTCTACTCGTTTGCGTTGTGAAATGCAGCGCTGATAACGTAATAACGCGATAGCGTGATAACGCGATAACACGAATAACTAGATGCAATTAACGAAAACGAAGCGTGTCGAGATGCGCGTAAAATACGAGCAAAATCAGTGAACGAACGTATCTTGAATCGTTTCGTTGGTAATAGTTTAACGAATCGAACGAGACTCACCTTACACCTTCGGGTTATTATATTGAACACTGGCATGTTGTCGTTGCTTGAAATGGATCCGATGAACGAAAAAGTAACAAGAACCGTATATTCGTGCGGTCAAGTACTAGAGACATGTGCGCACGTGTAGTACGCGTTCACGCACGTGGCTAGTAGCGCGCGATGGTGGCGTGGGGCCGCGTGGGTTCGAACTCACAAACGCAAAGAAGATTGGTAATTCAGTAAAATTCGCTTCTCCGCTGAATATTAAAGAAGCGTATATACGGTACGATAATCATCCCAACCGTTAAAATTATCTTGAAGCGAAGCCGACGATGGAAATTATTTCCTCGCGATCTCAGATGAGATTCAACGTCGTCGTCATCGTCGTTATCGTCGTCGTTAGCATCATCGCTATCATCGTCAACGTCATTGCCACCACTTTCGACGTCATCGTCCTTCTTGTTCTCTTTCCTTTCCTGCTTCTCCGCCGCCCTCCGTCTGTCTTCTTCTTTGCAAAAGGAAGATCCTCGACGCCGATCGTAACTCCTGATAAACGTTGCGTGTTCCGCTAACTACTCTCCGCTTCGTCCATCCATTTCCGGGAAATTTTGTCGTAAAACTGATTGTCGCTCTCCTCATGAATAATCGTATTTACCCGTTCGGTGGCTGGCACTCGAAACGTACACGCGCGCGATAATCGAAACACCGAGACAACAGTACTCGCGAACGAGAACAAGAACGAATACGAGTAGGAGAAAAAGAAAGTAAACGTAGGTTAATCGGTCGCGGTCGCGAAGGATACTCGAATATAATTGTAACTACAACCTTGATAACGGGGTGGATTGGCATTCAAGAGGACAAACGATTCTTCTTGTGCGAAGAATACGTGTCAAAGTAACGGTGCTAGAACGAGCGCGAAAGCGAATACGAATGCGGATAACCGATCGAAGAACGAGTGCATTTTTCGGACTCGGGCTTGGACTCGAAGGTTTTGCCGATGCGACGACGTTGTTTCGTAGCAACCTTGCGTTTTCTCCTCGTACCGCCACTCCGTCGCGACTCGGCTACCTACGATTAAGCGTACCTCAAGGTTGCGGTTACCCAATAACGTATCTTACGATCTCGGCGAAGTGAAGTGGGATTCCGAGTTAAACGGGAACGGCGGGAGAGTTGGGAACAGGCAGCGGATGATAGATGACGAGTGACGAACAGGTGTAGTATACGCGAAGATAACTCGATATTAGTCGATAGTACGTCGAGTTGAAATATACGTATACGTCACGCTTTAGAACGATCTATCGTCGAAAAGAGTCGTTATCGGTTCGAATTGGCAGCGATAAACTTAAAAATGATCAGCGTCGAACTCTATCCTTCTGCTTCGATTCTAAATCGGATCTGTCGTAGCCAGAAAATCG